GGGCTCTTAATAAAACTTCATATTTTTAAGAAAAAAATTTTGCAATAAAACCTCCCAAAACAAAACACAACGCCTCTGTGGAGGAGAGTGCTAGAAAATAGTCACAAGGCTTGGAAAGGCTAGCATTTTATCGGATTGTTTTCATGAAATCTATCGCTATTATGAAATACTCGGTGAAGAACAATATGAATTACACACAAGATGGCTGTGGAGGAGGCTATGGAAGGGCATAACCTCATTATCAAGTAAATGAACCGCAATTCTGACAGCAATCATGAGCAATTCTGCTTCGCACTTCGGGGGCAGAAATGGCTTTACTGGGGCGGGGGAGCAAATTCTTTCCATGGGGGGGGGGGCAATTGCCCCCCCCCAGATATATAGTTAAAAAAGGCACTGAGGTAAATCAAAACTGGAGTAGTATAATCGAATTTGGGGATTAAACAGACCACACGTGCTGAAGCATTGAGAACTCTTTGTAACCTATCATATTGAGACTGTGGGAGACCATAAAACAATGAGTTACAGTAGTCCAGGTGTGAAGTAACAAAAGCATGAACCAAAATCTTTCTTGTATCTTTTGAAAGAAACTTCCTTATCTGCCGGATATTATAGAGGCTGCGAAACGCCTTAATACACACTTTTCTAATGTGAATATCCATCGACATATGTGCGTCAAACCACATTCCGAGGCTTTGCACCACCTCCACAGGCTCGATCGTAGATTCACCAAGTGTAATTTCATTGATGTTAATCTTTGACATTTGCTGCTTTGAACCGATGATCATAAATTCAGTCTTGAAATCATTTATCAAGAGACGGTTAGAGAGCATCCAGGCACGAATGTCAGCAACACAGTAGAAGGGTCAATTTGTATATAGTAGCTCAAAAAAAAAAATGAACTTTTTTCCTAAGTTTTTTCCGAGTTTTTTCTAAGTCTTTTTTCCAAAGTCTTCCAAAGTTTTTTCTCCCAATTCCCCGAGTTTTTTGAAAGTCTTTTCAAAGTCTTGAAAAGAATTTTTTTCCAAGTCTTGAAAAAAGTTTTTTCCGAAGAAATTAAAAAAAAATTTTTTTTCACGAAAGCGATTTTTAAAAAAGAACTATACGTATAGTGAATAAAGAAAGAGTATGAGTCTGAAAAAAGAAAGTTTCGGTTCGGAAATCAGAAGACTTGCATGGGAACGAAAGAGACGGAGGGAATACAACGAGGAGTGTATAGAATTTTTTTATGGGGACAGCGCATACAATCCGGGTTATACGACTATCGGAGATGTGGAAGATATCGGTATCGGAAAACCTGAAAAAGCTGTGGAAAGATTGAGAAAATATGCTGAGTTGAGAAATAGGATAATGTTAAAATTAGAGGAAGCATTGATCGAAGCGAGAGAAGTGATAAGAAGGGAAGTAAAACCGAAGCCGATGAATGTAAAACAATTAAGGTTAATCTTGGAAAAAATTTGTGTATCTTACGATTATAATCCTAGAAGATCACACCTTTTAAAAAGGTATAGGGAAGAGATAGCAGAACCACCGCCTCAGGTTTCTGAGATTGAAGTAATGACATCGAAAGAAATGAAAAAGGAGTTGAGTCGGTTAGGTTTAAACTTTATGACAAATATGCGGAAATCTGTTTTGAAGGAGATTTTGGTAGAGGATGCAAGAAAAATTAGTGATTTTAGGGCGAAACCGATTGAATGGAATCACCATGTTGATTATCGATGGCTTGCGATGAGTCGATGGTATTTTACTCGTAGGATAACGACGGAACCGTTCACGATCTGGGCATTTGTGAAGGGAAAGGGAAGCGGTACCAGATCTATATACCATAGCGGAGTAAGAGAGGAATCCGCGACCAGTTTATAAATAGACTGGAAATTTTTTTTTGTAACACCTTATATAAATAAAGACAAATCAGTAAAGGTTATCCGGAACTACTATATCTACTCATTCATTTTTTTCCCATACTCGTTCGGAGTATGGGAATTTCTTTGTTAAATAAATGAGTAGATACAGTAGTAAGGATAACCTTCCGTTTTTAAGGCGGATGCATGATGTATTTCTTGATAACGAAAGACGATCGAGGAAAGAATCAGAGGTTCGTGAAAAGAGGGTAAGTCAAGAAACCCGCGAGGGGGGAAAAAGTTGGGAAAAAAGTATTAGGAAAGAAGAGGCACGTCGCCGCGGAATAATTAACAGGGAAAGGGCAGCAGAAAAAAGACGCGTTCGCGAAGAGAAAAAACAGGCCGGCAGGGAAAAAATACGTCTTCGAGATTTGAACGAGACGGTTGTTCAACGAGAACGTAGACTTCGCAGGAACGAACGCGAAAGAACAAGACGTAGGAAAAAAAGGGAAGCGGAAGCAAGATATCTGGAGTTGACGCCGTTTCGGGAAGATTCGGCAATACGTGGGATGGTGGAAAGATATAGGATTGAACCGACAACTGCTTTCGATGTGTTAACATTTCTGGAACTTGCCCGGCCAAGAGTTCGGGGGCTTTTGGATGGATTACGCGGAAATATGTCCAGCAACATCAGGTTAGAATTAATTTGTTTGATGGGGAAGGAATTGGAAGATGGAAGAGAGGAGTTGAAGGAGGCAAGTTTTATAACGGGAAATTATAAGCTTCACGGTGTTGATGCATTAACGGATGAGATTTGGGAACAGATGAAGGAAAAGATTCTGATAGAATTTTCTCGCTACCAAAAGGGTGGAAGTAATTATGTTTTGAAAAGGGTTCAGCGTTTGTATATTCACGTTGGAAAATTTATTCCGTTCAGGGGAAAGGGATGTTCGGATCCTCTTCCCGATTTTATAAGAAAAAAGCATGCATTGATCAATATGAAAAATACAGACGACGAATGTTTTAAATGGGCGGTAACCCGTGCGTTATATCCGGTGAAAATAAATTCCGAGAGAATTTCAAAGAAACTTCGTAAACAGGCGCAGAATTTAAACTGGAAAAATGTTGAGTTTCCGACACCGGTTAAAGGAAGATCAATCATTAGTTTTGAACAAAACAACGGTGTGAATATCAACGTGTTCTCGTGGGATGAAACCGATGGTTTTCATCCGGTAAGGATCAGTAGATCTTATTCGTCGGGTGGGGCAACCGTGATCCGACTTTTTATTTTATTTTATTTATTTTATTAAACGAATATTTATACAGGATGTTCACGTCAGTTCAATAAAGAACTGTTATCAATGTGGGTCCTGTCACTATATAAGTTTAAAATATACTAGAAATACAGGAATTCAATCATTAGAAGTTTACATATGTATAGATACATATTATCATATAGTTATAAAAGGTAAAAATGTTAAAAGTTTTCTTCTAAGAGCTTATTAAAAGAGTTAAAATCTTCAGTTTTACGTGTATCCAGGGGCAGATGGTTATAAAGTTTCGCTCCTATGTAGTAAAACGATCCTCTGCTATATTCTAACCGGATTTTTGGCAGTTTAGCTTTGTATCCGTTGTTTCGGGTCATCGTGCTATGTTTGTGCGTTTCAAAATAGTTTATAAAATTCGAACAAACGTTTCCATCTAAACATTTCCGAACCAATACACATGCTTTAATTTGATTGCAGATATGAGGAGATTTTATCCTAAGTTCGTGGTTAGGTTTTGATGCAATTATACCTACAGCACGGCGATGAATTGATAAAAGTTTGTCTTGACGGGTTCTGCATAAATTTAAGTTTAATATGCCACAGTAGGTTAAAATTGGTAAGACCATCCCTTGATAGATGGCCTTCGCCGCCTTGACATTAAGAAAAGGTCTTATCTTTCTTAATAATCTTAGTCTTCCACAAGCTTTCTTATATGTACTATCAAAGTTGGTGTTCATATTCAGTGAATGGTTGATTTCAACACCCAGGTACATATATGTTGTCGTAGATCTAATCAACTGGTCTCTGTAGGTCACGTTTAAGGTTTGCGTGTTTTGTGCCAGGTTTTTAGCAGTACCGAAGATCATCGATTCCGTTTTGCCAGCGTTAGTGTTGAGAATAAGTTCGTTTTGGACACACCATTCGGCAATTGATTTCATATCGGCCGAAAGTCGAGTTTCAATAATAAAAAGATCCTTTCCAGCGACGTAGATTACCGTGTCATCAGCATAGATGGTAATATTTGAATGTTTAAGGCATGAGGAAAAGTCGTTGAAGAAAACAACAAATAGTAGGGGGCCAATAATAGATCCCTGTGGGACGCCAGATGTGACTTTCCCAACTTCTGATATACATTCCTTATAGTGCACTTGCTGTGATCTGTTGGAAAGATAATCCTGAAACCATTGTAATTCAATATTTTCCACCCCATAGCTTTCCAACTTATTCAAAAGAGTTCCATGGTTTAGAGTATCGAATGCTTTGGTAAGATCTAAGAAAACAGCGCCAACCAGTTTGCCTTCATCCACCTTTCTTTTAACATTATCAGTAAAGAGTGTTGCTGCTAACTCAGTGGAGCGTCCCTTACGAAATCCAAATTGGCTTTCATGCAAGAGGTTGTTATTTTCTAAATAGCTTGATAGTTGATGATGAACCAGCTTTTCAATTACTTTAGATATTGCAGGAATAATTGAAATTGGGCGGTAATTTTTAATAATGTTATATGGTTTTGATTTAGGTATCGGTATAAGTTTTGAAAGTTTCCAATCAGTAGGAAAAACACCAGTAATCAAGGAGCTATTTATAATGTGGGTTAGAGGTTCAGTAATAACGCTAGCACAGTCCTTCAGTACGTAAGCTGGGATATTATCCAGACCAGTAGATTTCTTCTTTTTTAGCGACTTTAATTGATTAAAAACTTGTTGAAACTTTACAGTTTCAAACTTAAATCGGCAATTATGGGGTGAACATTATTACGTCATTTTATGGGGTGAACATTATTACGTCATTAAAAATATGTCAGCACTGATTAGATCTCAGATCACAAAAAACACACGCGCAAAGTATTTTTGCGATAAGTGTCTGGATGGATTTGGACGAAAGGATCTTTTAAAGGAACACCTGGAAATGTGTCTGAAGGAGAATGAAAAAGGTGTGGGTAAGTTTCCTGATAAGGGATCCGTCTGTGAGTTTGAAGGAGTAAGGAAAATGCAGATTCATCCGTACGTAATCAATGCGGATACGGAATCTTTTTTGAAGAAAAAAGAAAAGGTCGGAAGAATTAACAGGAAGAAATTAAAAGGTTCGGGTAGGAAACATTTACACGATCACGTGATGAATTCCTATTGTTTTCATACTGTAAGTACGAACGAAGATAGAATGAAGTCGGAAACGGTTCAGAAAACGTCGGTTCACGAATTACAATGCATATCGGATAGGTTTGTAGACGATCTTGTTGCAAAGGTACGCGAATTTTTTCGGAACACCAACGATCCACTTCCCATGGAGGAAATGACCGAGGACTTGAAAAAATCTCATCTATCGGAGACGAGATGTTACGTATGTAATTCTGAGTTTACCGAGGAAAATTTAAAGGTACGAGATCATTGTCATTTTACGGGAAAATATCGCGGGGCTGCATGTAACGCATGTAATCTTGAAATGACAGCACCAACATTCGTTCCGGTTTATTTTCATAATCTCGAGGGATACGATGCACATTTAATTATTCGGGCACTTGCGAGAATTCCGGGTAGGTTTAAAAATATTTCAAAAACGGAACAGAATTACATTTCTTTTTCAAAGATGATTTGGATGGGTCCGTTTACGGATAAGGAAACCGAGGAAGAATATAATAAGCAGGTGGAAATTCGGTTCCTGGATTCGTGTAAGTTGATGCAATCATCGTTAGCAAAACTAGCCAGCGGATTGAAAAAAGAGACGGATTTTATTCAGTTGGATCGATACTGTGATGAAATGGGATATACGAAGATTCAGCGGGATTTATTAAAACAGAAGGGAGTTTATCCTTACGAGTACATGGACGACCACGAAAAGTTTGACATGAGTCGTCTTCCACCAAAAAGATTTTTCTACAACGGATTAAAAATGGAAGATGTTACGGACGAGGAATACGAACGCGCTAAAAAGTATGGAAGACGTTCGGAATGGAAAGCATGCTGGATTATCATAATTTATATCTCGTAACGGACATGTTAATTTTATCGGACGTGATCGAAAACTTTCGGAAGGAAAGTCGCGAAACGTACGGGCTTGATTCACCGTGGTATTACACGGCTCCGGGGCTTTCGTGGGATGCAGCATTAAAAAAGACCAGAATTAAATTAGAGTTGATTACCGACCCTCGAATGTATAGATTTATAGAAAATGGAATTCGTGGTGGAATAAGTACGTCGATAATGCGATACGGAACGGCCGACAATAAATATGTTGATATTTCGGAAATTCCCGAAGGTATCATAAATTTAATGCGTGACCTAAATTTAAAAATCAGAAAGGATCCAACCGATATTCGCGAAAAGGTTTTAGAATTCGAGAATGATGTTTGTAAATTTTTATGGGATTATAGTCAGGAGGACGACGATAAAATTATGAGATACATCGAAAAGAATCTGACGCGATGGGTAGCATGTCTTAGCGATCATGGAAAGGAGGATGATTCCGTATTCATTCCGTACCTGGACGCAAACGGTTTGTATTCTTACGTCATGACACAACCGTTACCCTACGCCGACTTTGAATGGATGTCGGAAGAAGAAAAGGAAAAATGGGATAGTCTTCCGGAAGGGAAAGGATGTTTTTTAGAAGTGGACCTGGAATATCCGAAGGAACTTCACGATCTTCATAGTGACTGTCCACTTGCTCCGGAAAGGATACTAACGGAAAGCGGCGGTATGAAACTGGCACCGAATTTATACGATAAGAAAAGGTATATTCTCCACGTGAAAAATTTAAAATTTAATTTGGAGCACGGTTTGAAATTATTGGAAATTCATAATGGCGTTATGTTTTCGGAACGATCATGGTTAGCCGAATACATTCACATGAATATTGAACTTAAAACGCAATCCAGATCGTCGGAATGGTTTCATTACGTGCAAAATTGTATGCTTATAAATTGGAAAATGGTAAGGAGGGAAAAAGGGCAAAGGGAATTAAAAAAGCAACGATTAAAAAAACGTTGCGATACGATGATTTTAAAGATTGTCTTTTCACGGGAGAAAAACAACAACGTGAAATGGATGTGATCCGAAGTTACGATCATTATATTCGTACGGAAAGGATTACAAAAGTAGCGTTATCATCCGACGACGATAAGCGTCATATTTGTAAGGACGGAATTCACACGCTAGCACATGGACATAAGTATATCAGGTACTAGTCTTGGTAACAACTTTCAACAGAATTTAAGATTGATCCGAAAGATCTTACAAGTAAAATCTAAGTAAATTTACGTCCGTCCTACAATTCCTCGCAAGTAAATTTTAAACAAAGTTCAACAAAATTAAAGTATTTTCTTTCCATACAATAAAGCAAATGACAGAAGTAAATCCAGAATCCGTTCCGGTGACCGAACCGGAAAAAGTGAAAGATCCACGTCGAGTCAAAGCGGGGAAAAAGTTGGGAGCGATGAGTCAGGAATACAAGAAAGCAAAAAAAGAAAGGTTGGAAAAAAATCTAGGAGCGGAAGTTCGTGGAGAATGTATGACGGAAGGTAGATGGATTTCCATCGAAAGATTATGTATGATATTTGGATTAGGAATCGGGCTGGGATCGTTGTATTTAACGTGGAAAAGTCATGATGATAAAAAACCTGCGAAACAAGAAATTATCTACGAGAATAACAACGATGTAGAAAAGGATCCGCCAAAAGAACCTTTCGACGACTTGTTTGATTAAATATTTTTCAATCGAAATTATTCTATGAAAGTATTTCATAGGATAATAAAAGGAAATGGAGATGATAGTACTATGGAATTCAGCACTGATCGGAGACAATAAAGTCAGCACTATTCGGTCTGACGATGGATCGATTTATTTTGCAGCGAAAGAACTAGCGATTGCACTCGGGTATGTCAACCATCACAAAGCTGTAACCACACATACGAGGGAAAGAATGAGAACGACACTAGGTGAAATCAAAGGGGTATCCCAGTTTGGCCTACCCCTTTGCAAACCGGGTGGTGTACAACCCAATATGGTTTTTATCACAGAATCTGGTCTGTACAGACTTATTATGAAATCAAAATTACCAGCCGCCGAGGACTTTCAGGATTGGATATCTGAAGATGTTCTTCCCTCTATCCGGAAAACGGGAACGTATACGCTACCGGGAGTGATGTCGGCTATCGACAATGTGAAAGACGAAAAATTACGTCAGCTTTCCGAAGAAGAACGGATAGAGGCACATGGAAAACTAACGTATAAAAATAACTTGGTAAAAGATCCGAAAGCAGTTTTACGTGGAAAAAAAGGTGGATTAGCCGTCCAGAAAAATAACAGACAGACTAAAAAAATATTACGTGAAAGAGGAGCCAGGATTTTAGAACTCGAAGAGGAACGGGACGAACTTGAAGAGGAACGGGACGAACTCGAAGAAGAACGATATGATCTTGAAGAAGAACGAGACAGACTTGAAGAAAAAGTACAAGATCTCAAAAAAGAATTGGTTGAACGAGATGAAAGAATTAACGAACTCGAAGACGAAAACGAACGACTTTTGCTCGAAAATAAAAATCTCAAAGAACAATAATAAAATTTTTTTTATTTCTTTCGCCCAAGAAATAAAAGAGAGAATGTCTGATACCAAAAAAGAACTCGTTTAGGATTTGTACGATGCTGCACTTTTAACATCCGGAGTCGTTGGAATTTCGTACGCGGCGAAAACAATCGCGGGGAAGAGTCTGGGTGCACCGATGACGTTGGAAGGAGCGATGAAACTTGGTGTGGCCGTGGCAGGAAGTTCCGTTGCCATCGCCTATCTCAAAGATAAAGGTTACGTTCCAAAAACAATCGGTCAATAATAAACAAGATGACAACCAATTTAGTAGTCGGCGGATTATTCAATGCGATCGCCTTTGCAAGCGCGGGATTTTTATTTTCCCATTTGAATCAAAACGGGTACAAAGAAGAAGTGAAAAGACATAATCATGCGCTGGAAGAATTAGCGGCGGCCAAGGAAAAATTTTACGAATCCGAAGTGAAAAGACGGAACGATGAAATACGACGACGACAAGAAATCTTAGATGCGAATCACGATATCGAAGAGACGAATAAAGCGTTGGATGCATTACGAAATTATAATCGTCGACGGGATTTGAATGCGTTAGATCGTAAACCGAAATTCGAAGATTATTATCAACCGTCGGACGAAATGCAAAAATATATGTACGTGACGATGGGAGTCGTCGGACTCGGTAGCGGATACATACTGACACGAATTTTCTAAGTTGTAAAAACTTTAAAAATTTCTAAGTCACCAGCAGACATTTAAGAGTCGTTGCACCTTTTCGAATAGTTGCTTTTCCGTTTACATCGAGATCTCTAAATTTTAATCCGTAGATAGTGATTTTATTCATCATGTAAAAGAATGTGAACGTCGTACGAACGATCCTGCTGCGCTGCGTTTCACAAAACACGACGACGTTACCGGTATTTCCCGTACAAAATCCGTACGCAGGAGATTGAGTTTCCTGATTAATCTCGAATCCACCGACCTTAAAGATGATGAATTTTGCATCGTTTCGGTTGGTTTCGGAAATGACTGCACTTTCGAGAAATCCCGGTGGAAATCCAGCCTTTTGTACGAGATCGATCTGAACGGGTGGATTTCTTCCGATTTCGCTCAGATCGATCAATTCGGTCTTGTTCTTTTGAATCTCGGCAGTATTATCCTGTTGTTTCATTTCGATCTCCGTCACTTTTTTCTTCAAATCCTCGGATTCGTCAAAGTAGTCGTATCCCATCAATATACTCATTTTTATTTAAATAGAAAATAAGCAACTCCCATCGATGCAGCGGCTAAAATTTTCAAAGTGGATGGATTTTGTAAATTTTTTGTGAAATCTCTCGTAGGACTTGTTGAAGTTTTCACGGGACTTGTTGAAGTTTTCACAGGATTTTTTACGGGACTCGTTACTGAATTTTTGACTTGGACTTGTTGGTTTTTTCACCGGACTTGTCGGAGTCTTTGTAAAATTCACCTCGTCATTTTTTCCAAACGTCATGCCACTTTTGGCCAACGTTAAAATATTATTGTAACCTTTCAAAGGTTTTTGTAAAATCCGCATGTCGGACGGAATGAGAATCAGGCCAGGCATGATGGCAAAATTCAAGACGACGTTCGTATCCGCGATCGCCGTACGCATGTTGCGGATGATCGTTGTGATATCGTTCTGAACGATACTGTCGTTTAAAACTTTGCGAAATACGTCTTGGGTCTGTAAACTTTTTGGGCCTTGTCCCGTAATACTCCATCGGGTTTTGGCTTGTGCTCCGAGAACGGCGTAGACGTAAACTTCCAGACTCTGTTGAAATAACCGTTGTCCGATCTTTGTTAATCCGCGCGATGTTTTTGGAATGAATATTTTATAATCTTCTGTATTTTTCGGAAGTTTTTTCGTTAAATAGTCGTACGCGATGTATGTTCCACCGTACCGCGTTCGAACGTAATGATGATTTCGAATTCTTCGTCGCGTATCGGCAGGTAATCCATAATACCACGTTCCAAGAATGGCATGGGTCGATGCGGTTCGACGTTCCCACGTTTCGGTCGTCGGCATGTATTTTCGCAGAACGTAAAGATCGTCTTCGTTTAAATAATGATCCATCAATCTTGGATCTTTCATAAATTTTTCCATCTGATAATGAACGTGGAATTTCACGATGGACGTGATCAGATTGGAATCGGACAAGGTATTATTCAGATGATTTTCAGAAATTCCAGATTTAAATGTCGCGATGTAACAGGCTGCCAGCGATCGAAAATAAGAATTTTGATGATAGTCGAACGGGATTAAATTTACAAAATTTCCCGTTCCCGTGTATTCGGGTGTCGTATATTCTAAATCCATGGGAAAATAATCCGTTTCCGAAACATAGATTTTAAACGTGTGAAAATTTACGGCAAAGTCTAAATTCGGACGAAATATCATATCGGATTTGACATTTCGCCATCCATCTTTCCAATATAGATATTTGGTCCATTTCGGATTTTGTAAGAATGTTTCGGATGTAATATCGTAACTGGTAAATTCGTCCACTTTGTAAGAAATTTCGGTCGAACTTAACGTTCCATCTTTTACAAACGTCACGTTAAATTCAAACTTGGATAATGTGGCATTCGGATATTTTTTAAGAAAATTAATCTTGAGTTTCTGAATTTCTAACGGATAAGCTTTTCGAACCTTTTCGTAATTCTTTCCGTAATAGTCACGGAAAACTTGTTCTTCCCCTTCCATCTTTATTTCTTAGATGATATACAAATCCATTAAAGCATTGCACGGTGTAATTCCATCGACGTTGGATCTTACGTCGAAATGAAGTTCGTGGTAAGTCCCCGCATCGGCCTGCACTTCGCTTTCGATGTCGTTGTATTTTGTCGTCGTTCCGAATAAAGGTTTCGTTCCGTCGATGGGAAGGGACGATATGATACTGCTCGGATAGCCGTCGGAATTTATATTTTGGGATCGGTTCGCTAAATTACAACCGATCGTGACGTAACGTAATCCTTCGTGAATATCCACGGGATGTTGACCCGGATGTAATTCCGAAAATGTCGTGTATCCTAGCAGATTATTTAATTTCCACGGATTAAAAGATTTAACGCTTTTTCTAAATTTTATTTGAATCCGTCCGTCTGGAAAATCTTCGACGACGAGACCGTGACTTTCTAATTTCTGACGCAATTGTTTAAACGTCCAGTATCCTTGTTTCAACATCACTTTTTTCTTATCGACGGAAAAATAATTATTGTCGTCTTTTCGAATATTCTCGTACGTCCAAAATAAGGCGACTGTTTTTACGTAAAGTTTGGATGCCGGTGTTAAAGTTAACGGACTCTGTAATTTCATCGTAGTTTCTCCGTTCCGAATAAAAACTGTAATCTTTTTCATTTATTATAAAGTATGGATACAGTGGATCTTGGTTTACGCGAACTCTATTTTAACGTCAACGGCGGTTACATGTCGATGGAAAAACTTTATCGGGATGCTGTGAAAGAAAATATTCCCGGTGTCACGCGTGAAAAAGTGAAAAAATGGTTACAAACGCAAAATACGTACGTCGTTCACAAACCGACGCGAGTTCATTTTAAAACGCAACGAACGTACGTCGATGGACTCGCACAACAATTACAATTGGATTTGGTTGATATGCAAATCTATAGTCGTTCGAATAAAGGTTACAAATGGATTTTAACATCCATCGAAATTTTAAGTCGGTATGCATTTGCCGTTCCCGCCAAACGAAAAGGAACGGAAGATATGGTTCCGGCCGTCGAAAAAATCTTGGAACAATTTCGCGAAAGATTCGGACGTTATCTCAAAGTCGTTCAATTTGACGAAGGGAAAGAATTTTATAATAACGGTGTCAAAGGTTTACTGGAAAAACACGACATTCATTATTTTTCGACGCCGTCGACTGGAAAAAAAGCGGCCGTCGTCGAAAGATTCAACAGGACGTTAAAAACAAGAATGTGGAAATATTTTACCGAACAACAATTTACGACCAAGTCTAAAAAATGGATCGACGTTCTGCATAATTTTGTCGCGTCGTATAATCATTCGAAACATCGTACGATCGATATGAAACCTGCCGATGTGAACGAAACCAATAAGGATAAAGTCTGGACGAAACTTTACGGTTATCCACTATCTCATTTTCCGACCCCAAAATTTAAAGTCGGAGATCGTGTCCGAGATCAAATTTATCGCAAAACTTTCGATAAAGGTTACACCCAGAATTATACCGACGATGTTTACGTTGTGTCGGAAGTGTTTCGTGGCGATCCGAACATGTATAAAATCATCGATCCCGACTATGACGATCGTGAAATCAAAGGGAGATTTTACGAGCATGAATTATCGTTGGATCTAAGTGGTAAATAAACTATGGCCAAAGCTATCAAACTCGATGAGATCGGACGGGATTATGATTGGGATCCGTGGGAAGAGGATGAATACGATGATATAAATTTAAACGATGACCTGTACGAAACGGCGCTGGATGATTTAGATCGACAGGACGATGAAAAATGGTTGTTAGATTTTAAAAGACAGAATGAAAATGATAAGGCTAGAAAAAAAAAGAGGGAAACAAATTCTTTGTATACGACCGGATCATCCTCCGGTCTGAAATCCGAGTATATGAAAAAACTTTTTGAGAACGACTATCAATTAAATCCGAACGATGGACCTCGTTCCAAAGATTTATTTTCCCGACTGGATGTTGTTGATAAATACTGGTTGACGTTCGATGGAACCAAAGTAGCTTTTATCGATAGAAATGGAAAATACTTCCTGTCGAAAGATACATCCAACGCACAAGGACTAAGAGATTTTAGAACTGCCTTCGAAAAAGCAACGGAAGAACATAAAAATAAGTTCGTCAGTATCGTGGAAGAAGAAATTCCGGATGGAAATCCATCGATCCACGACGATATTTCCGACGACGTACGTGATGAAATTCATAATGAAAATATCGACGATAATCTTGAATTTCACGAACGTGTTTTACAGTTTCATCGCGACGGAAAATTTACCGAACAGGAATCCAGGGAATTGGTTGGAATTACCGTTCCCAAAGGTGAACCTAACGAACGAATTAAATTTTTAAAAGTAGAACGTCAAAAACTTAAAACAGATTTTGAAACCGAATCCGATGATGAACGCAAAGATATTTTTCGCGAAGCGTTAGAGATCGTCGATCAAAATATCAACGATGCAAGACTGGAAATGCGCGAACGTCCCGAATCCGAAGAAGGTGTGCATCGCGTTCGAGAAAAAGTTCGCGAGGATGTAAGAACGAGATTTGAGAAATTTAAAATTTGGGCCAGAGAAAATTTAGGAATTTTATCTGCGATCGCTATTTCCATCGCCGAAATTATTACGACCGTCGTCGTCGCCGGAAAAAAGACGTTGGTCGGTGCTGCAAAAGGCGTGGGCGAAGTTGAAAAAGCGTTGGGAAAAATTGCGAAAGCTGCCCTTCCCGTTCTAATTCCCATCCTGAATATGTTAGCGACCGTTTTAAAATGGGGTGCGAAAGGAATAGAATTTCTTGCAAAAAACTTATGGATTCTCGCCATTCTCATCGCAGGATACTTGTACAATTATTTCACGAAGAAAAAATAAAAAAATTTTTATTTCATTCCCATGAAATAAAAGAATGGAAACGCGTACCCAAGAACTTAATCCTAGTTTTAGTCGTCGATCCAGGACGGAACTGACGGGAAACCGAACGCGACATTTAATCACGTTCAATCCGAATTCGGCGAAACCCGGTGAAGAAATCTACGTGAATATTCCCAAACTCAAACCGGATTCTGTTTTGGTTCCAGATAGTATGGCATTAATTTTCGACTTTAAAAATGCCAATGAAAAATCATGGTTTCGAAATAACTTGGGAAAATTATTACAAAAAAGATTAGAGATTCGTCTCGCCGGTGAAAAAGTTTACGATAACAGCGGTGAAAGTTTACTGGAAATTTACAAAGACTTGTGGATGGATGAAAAACAACGCGCGGATATGATCCAAGATGGAATTACGACCGAAGCCGTCCGTAAGAAAATTTCCAAGGACGACGAGGCGAATGCCGATGCCGATGCCACTGCATTATTTGGAATTTTCGGAATGAAGCAACTGTTGAAAATTACGAAGATTTTAGGCGATCACGGATTGTATGCTCCGTATCATTCGGCCAACGATCTTCAATACGTGATCACGTTACCACAAGCTTCCGAAATCATGAATGCACAAAGTGGTGAAACCGTCGAAGAATATTCCCTGAAAAATTTAGAACTGGAATACGAATCCATCGAGAACGTCAACCTCGCACGGAAATCCGAAAATCTCTACGGAGCCGAACGCGAATTATCTTTCGAACATGCCACGTTGATGAAAAAGACCGAATGGGATAAAAGTTTAACGATCGTCAACGAAACCATCAATCTTCCGCGACGAAGTATGAAAGCCGTTGTCATGCTTTTCACGGAAAAAAACCGACCGATAGCGAAGAATACGTCTTCCCGAATATCGATAAAGTCAAAGTGACGATCGAAGGTGTTCCAAATGTTGTGTACAGTCAGGGTATGACGAAGACGCGGATGTACGAAGAAGCCAAACGTCTTTTTGGAACCGATGTCAACGGACAACAGTCCCTGATTAAATTTTACAAAGATAAAAAATTTGCATTGGTGATCGACTTGCGTACGGCAAACGATGATAAAACGTACGGAAACGGAGTGAAAATTCAGAATACACAATCTGGAATCCTGATCGAAATCACGAAAAAAGCGACGACCGCCAACGTCATCTGTTACACGTTCGTTCTTTCGGACGGTGTGATTAAAATGGTAAACGGACAACTGAGTGGTGTACGATACTAACTTATCGCGATACGCGATAACTTCTTTTCATATTTTAAAAATATGAAAAAAGATCCCTATTATGTTTTTTCATCCTCTTCTTTCACACCTTCCGTTCCTTTCCTTCCATATACATGTTTGACCGTCGTCACACCGCCGCTTAAAATTCCCAAATATGGAATATACGGCGATATTTTTTCAACGAGACTTTTCACGTCGCTTTTTAATAATTTGTCCTGATTTAATTCTCCTTTTAATTCCTCGCCGCTATCGATCATACGAAGATTTTCCAACAATCCCGAAAATTTTTTGATCAATGTTTCCGTAAGAAGAACGTTTGCCTTTTCACGTTGATTCAAAGTATATTCCCGTTTTATTTTAAAGATGACTTTGGGTGTTGCCTTTTTCAAATAATTCTCGGATTGACTAATTTCACCGGCGTTCGATAACCGAATTAATTCGGCTCGCGTATCTTCGAATATTTCTTGTTCCGTCCTTTCATGTGTCGTATTCTCTTCTCCTTCCATTCTTACTTATACTTTATTTCATAATGATACGGATGAATTAAATTTATTTCCAAGTACGAATACTTATTTTCCCTTAATATTTCACCGATGGATTTTAATTTCTGCGGATCTTCATTTCCCAGATAATCATCCAAAATAATTTTCATATCCTTCCTGCTCGGATTGTAAAATGTTACTAATTTATAAATATTTTCACGAAATGCTTTGGCGATCGATGTCAACTGTTGTGTAATCACGATCGTCGAAATACGATCGTGTCGTCCACCCATGCCTAATCTTACCAACTGACTCGTACGATTCTTGACGGACTGCGTACTCGCACAGTCATCCAAAATGATCAGCGCACCTTTCCCAGATGAATATTTCACAACAGATTCTAAATATTTCACAACAGATTCTAACGACTTTTCCACATCGTCGTAATCGCATGCAACGACGAAAAATTTAGGATCCGCGAAAATAAAATCTTGGTCGTACGTTTTATTCCGATGATATGTTGGACAGATTAAAAAGATTTCGGAAAATTTATGAAAATACGTCGTCTTTAATTCTTCGATCAGATAATGTGTTTTTCCACATGCCGTCATTCCTACGATGATCATATTGAACGGTTCCATTTAATTAAAGGATGGGATGTCTTTCTTCAAAATCCAAAAGTGTTGTTAAACATAATAAGAATCACAAGAGACGAAAAATGTTTAGTTTAGGATTTGGATTCGATCGCGGAGATGCAACGACAAGCATTCATACACAGATCGGATACGTGAGTACGACCGTTAAAAATTACGATGGAAAAATAAAAGATGAAATTATTCCCGTGGAGAATCTTGTTGTGGGTGAGTCTAATCAGTTGCCTTCTGATTCCGATCACGTTCGAACTGTTGCTGGTGATGATCATCCTGAATAAATTTTAAATTTTTATTAAAATTAAAAATTCTCACGCAGACGGTGTATAAACCGTTAATTCTTTTTTTTCTTTTTCTTTCTCGCGACACATCCTGACTAACCTGAAACCTACGAATAACAAGATGGAAAATGCAGACGATGCACACATAGCACACGTTGCATATAAAACATCGGCTTCTCTGTCCGTTAATCTTATGTTCGGAATTTCCGTTTCGTTTCTTCCCACTAATTTCATCGCCGAATAAAGTATTGTTGTTACTGGATTCATTCTTTTATTTAATGGAATTTGTTATAAATTTTAATGTTTTTTTTAACATTAAAATTAATTCTTTTTTTAATCTCGCAAAAGTCTTTTTCTTGGAACCTTTGGTTTTTCTTCCAATATACTAGCTTCGTATAATTTTACCTGAATACAGGTTGTTTTGTCGGATACAAAGATTCCATCGATTCTAACGATCGCATCGAGACGAAATCTCTTATTCAGATATTTTTTAGGATCGATGGGATCGTCTCCTTTCGGTTCGTAGATTTCCCTTTCGTTATCGATCTTAGGATATAAAACCGGAGCGTTACCTTTTCGGTAAAGACATTTCATTATCTTTTCGCCCGACTTATCAACATGCTTCGCACATTCTTTTTCTAATAATTCTAAAACGGTTACGAACTCCGGTTTCTTCCAAAGGGATAGGGAAACGGAAAGATTTTCATTACCGTACTTGTTATTTTTATCCACTCCATACGACAGACAATCCGTGACCTTCAGTAAAAGAGGACCTCAATCACATGCCGTTAATTTAATTTTTTTGGATCCGTACTTGTTTACGACGTCATCTTCGAAACAGAACAAATCCTTGGTAAAGTCCTGGACTTTGGTGATAGACATTTTCCTTTATTGTATATTTTTTATTCGTATAAATAAAAATTTTTTTTAAAAAACCAAGGTTCCATAATTAATATAATTTTCCACTTCCTCTTCCGTATTATCAACCTCATTAGGACAGATAAGTATTTCAATCTCATCGTAACCACCATCTTCCAAATAACGGTCGGGACCAATAACTTTTCGCAAAGCACGCGTGTTATCCCTCTCGTTGTTTTCCAAATCCAACCTGAATTCAAAACTTCTCTTTTCCATTTCCACCTTACGACATAAAATTTCACAATTTTTTCCAAATAAAAGTTTATCCTTAATTTTGTCGACGCGACGACCCTGCTCTTCCAAAAAGATTTTTCTTTCCTCCAACCTCTTGCGTTTTTCTTCCAACCTCCGTCTCTTTCGTTCCCATGCAAGTCTTCTGATTTCCGAACCGAAACTTTCTTTTTTCAGACTCATACTCTTTCTTTATTTACTATACGTATAGTTCTTTTTTAAAAATCGCTTTCGCGAAAAAAAAATTTTTTTAATTTCTTCGGAAAAAACTTTTTTCACGACTTGGAAAAAAATTCTTTTCGAGACTTTGAAAAGACTTGGAAAAAACTCGGGGAATTGGGAGAAAAAACTTTGGAAGACTTTGGAAAAAAGACTTAGAAAAAACTCGGAAAAAACTTAGGAAAAAAGTTCATTTTTTTTTTGAGCTACTAAATACAAATTGACCCTTCTCACAGTTTGCAGTACTCTTTAGTGCAGCATCTTGCGATAAAGATGTATCCGGCCGAAACGAATGATAAATCTGGGTGTCATCTGCATACGTATGTGCATTGGGAAGATGTTTATCAATAACCTTAAATAACCCAGCCACATAGAGTATGAAGAGGACAGGGCCAAGGCAGCTACCCTGCGGAACTCCCGATTCACCAAACTCGTTAGCAAGGATGGAAGGATCGCGATTTTCAAGAAACTCCTCAACTATACGTCCTTTGCTCAAAGAGTTCACAATTTGGAATAATTTTCTATAATCACCAGCAGATTTATCAATAAGGTTGGAATAAAACATTTTTCTGGTGTCATTCTATAGAGCACTGTAGTCATCGCGTACCTTACGATAAGCATTCTTATCACATTCAAGTTTCGATTTAAGCATGATTCTTTCCAGTTTCCTACGTTTAGCTTTCAGCTTCTTTAAACTATCCTTAAACCAAGGAACCATTGGTCGAACAGTCATAACTTTCGATTTCAAAGGAGCATGCTTATCGATAATAGAACGTAGGGAAATATCATAGCATTTTGACATATTATTAACACTTGACCAAGTTTTCTTGAATAGATCTGAGGCGCATATATCAGCTTTAAAGGCATTGAGGTCAATAGCAAACTTCTTTAACTAGGATGTTTGTGCGAGGAATATCTAACAAACATTCAACAAAAAAATGATCAGACAAAGCAAACGTCGCCAAAGGAGAGGTGATTGTGACATCATTGATTGATCTAGTGATAATTAAATCAAGGGAATGACCTGATGAATCAGTTGGGACATGAACATGTTGGATAAGTCCAAAAGTATTCATTAAGTCCGCAAACTTTTTCGCGTCTGCTTCGGTTGGACAATCAACGTGAAAATTAAAATCACCTGTAATCAAGAGTACTTCGGAAATCATAACGATGTTCTCCAAGTATGATGAAAACTCTTCGAAAAACACATTTGATGAAACCGGGTGGTCTTCCGAGTAAGGAGGTCGATAGATTGTCACCACTTCAATGGTTTGCTTGTGTACACAAACATTCCACTCCGAGAATTCAAACGAATTAAATTCCCCACAGTCACTGGATTTTACATTCAACGATTCTTTGCACAGAATACCCGTGCCGCCACCACTTCTACCAGACTGTCTTGGGAAAGATCTAAACACAAATCCTGCAGTAGATAGTTCAGCAGTGCTGACAGAGTCACATTCCTTCAACCACGTTTCAGTGATAGTACATATATCAATACCGCTATCAACCATATGATCAATGATAACGGCGATCTTGTTCCTTACAGAGCGCGAATTAACACAAGCAAAGCGTAAACGCTTCCGCAACACAGAGGTCGAGTCTTGGAAATCAATAGCAATTCGATCATGTCTCACATTAGTTTGTCTCACATTATTTCTGTCATTGTTGACATCGGCCGAGATCATCACCTGAATTTGGATCAAATTACAGTCATTGTCATTATTATTTATTCACGCATTATTTCCAAGACATAATCTAGGTATTTATACCAATCGGTTTGGTTGAATATCGGAACCGGGCAAAAACCCTGCTTGTCAGGCATTTGCTTCCTATACAATTTTCGGCTACGAGTAGTCTTTCGTTTAAGAGGCCACCGCGTAGTAATTCGGGTTGGAATACTTTGAAAGTTTGTTTCATCATATCTCTTATCGATCTGGTTCCCGACCAGAGCAGTCGAATTATGTTCAGGGACTATGTTTACAGGAGGCCGCCGAGTAGTAATTCGGGTTGAAATACTTTGAATTCGGGTTGAAATACTTTGATACTTGTTACGGACATCTAATGGTAGTGCATCTTGTTTTGATGAGCCAGAACAGGAATTCAGTATTATGCATGACTGATTGGAACGGCAATATTCTGTAGCTCTGTCTAATATTTCAATGGGTGGCGTGTTCTCTGGGGAAAACTCAACAACATTAGCATCGTTAATTTGGTTGTTTACAGTTAAATCTATTATACTAGTGGCTTTGTCTAATATTTCGATGGGTGGCAAGATTCAACAACGCTATTAACGTCGTTAATTTTATTGTTTACGGTTTAATCTATTGTACTAGTGGCTTTTTCATAACAAAGCTTTTCCCGCGTAGAGTGGCCCATGTCAGCCATATTAGAATATTCAAATGCGGGTGAAGATCGATCCCTGTGTTGATTGTTTAAGAAATATATCTCTGCCTTACGACAATATAATTATCAAGTTGTTGACTAACTTTTCCAAAATCCTCTGTTAACTTATTTAAGCGGGCTTCAACATTTTCAGTAGTAAGTTTGTTATTACAAATGTCCTTCTCAGCAATAGTTATATCCAGTTTAACGCCCTCCATTTCAACAGACAGCTCACTCGTTGTGCAATGGAAAACGCTATTTAGATTATTTGCAGCACTAGCTTCCTCGGGCGATATGCCAGAATTGCATATTATTGAACACAACTTAGCATTTATCTCTTTTTCTCTAAGGCCGCAGGTTCAAGCTTCAGTGAGAACTTCCTCAACGCGACTCGAACCCAGTCCTCATGTGAAAAAAGTAAAAGTCGACGCTCTGCCGAAAGTTGTGGGTTTTCCCAGGGTACTCCGGTTTCCTTCCATAGAGAAAATTGACAGGGTAGGTTAGGTAAAAGTGCCCACAGTAATTGGCATATGCTGTTGTGATGACCCTGCCCAAGTTAGCAAAGCTAAATATTTACCCTAATTATCGCATATGAATGGACCATGTGCATTATCGACTAAATTTTGATCTAGTCAGAAATTTTATCACAGCTTGAAAGAGCATCACAAAATTAATAATATTCCAAAGTTTCGTTGCGAAATGTTGTAAAATGCGGATAATATAGCCTTGCGAAATTTGCAATTTCCAGTCATTTTGTAATACAAACGGGAAATTAATGCCCCAACACCTGATTGGGCTGTCAGTTTCCCGTGCGTGTAATACAAAATGACTGAAAAACGGAAACTTCGCATGGCTATATTACCTATTTTACAACATTTCGCAACGAAACTTCGGAATATTACTAATTTTGTGATGTTCTTTCAAGCTGTGATAATATTTTTGTCTTGATCAAAATTTAGTCTATAATGCAAATGGTCCATTGTGGTACAAAAAGGCTTTCAAAACTGTGCAAGTGTGTGCATGCCCGCTAAAGTTTATTATGAGTTATCAAGAAAATGTTAAACCCAACGTGTTTCAACAAGAACACCATAAAGCGGAATATCATCTTTGTAAATTTATAGCCGGAATTAGTTTCTCCAAGTTAGTTTAAACATATTTATTTGGCGCAATTGCCCCAGGAGCACACGTTGGCTCATCTAGGGGGCTCTTGCACAAAAATAAAGATTTACATATCAAAAAGTTCAAGCATGCAACACACAAATATCACACAATCACACAACATAAATAATTATAGCGTTTTGAATATATCACAATCAGATCATCGCTTTGAAACACGTTAATTACCTACTGCAACAAGCCCTCAGAAACACAAACATCGAGAATTTTCTAGTACCTCGGACAGCTTGTTTCAGTTAAACAGGTACTGACAATAATATTTTTTTTACCTTATTTACGAGCTGAGAAACGAGATGTATCAATAATAAATCATTGTACAGCAAAAAACAATCTATGGTTTACATTAAAAGCAACGTTATTACATCCAGAAAGCAAAAAAGAAAGTTTCCCAGTTCTATTAGAATTGAACCAATAATTCCCAAGACATTCTGCAGCCGTAGTAAGTAAAATCGAACGGTAAGTATCCCAAAGCGGGCAATGCAACAAATAATGTTCAGTAGTTTCACGATGGTATCCGCACGCACATGTAGGAGACGGTATACAATTATGGCGGAAAAGGTCAGTATTTAAAGTACTATTACCTAACCGAAGTCTCGTGTGTAAAACTGAAGGATACCTAGCACCGACTTCGAAAATCTTCGGACATTTTTTTTTATCAAAATAGACTCTTAATTGCAGTTTTAAAATTAGTAACAGACGGCAAATTTCTAATTGAATCAGATAAGGAATTCCAAGCAGATATAGCCGATGGAAAGAACGACTGTTGAAATCTAGATGAAGAACATAAAAAATTGCATATATCATCACTGTTGCGGAGTGGATAATTGGATATTTGAGATACCGGCTTTGGTAAAACAAAATAAAGATAGTCAGGAACCATTCTGTTCTTAATTTTGTATAAAACTGACAATTTATGAATATATCGTCTGGTTTCTAATTTATCCCAGGAGAGTTCTTCTAGCAGAGCTACACGGTTAGTGCCTTTTATAGCACCAGTAACGAGGCGAGCTGCATCAAATTTCGAGAGCATTACTGCACTCTACCCCACAACCATCCCATATAAAATCACCATATTCCATTAAAGGTCTAACTAAAGAAATATACATGCTATTTAATGTAGTTCTGTTCAGACGAAATCTCAAACCTTTTAACATATTGAATCTTTTGGCCGCTCTTTCGCTAATGACACCTATGTGATTTTGCCAGGAGAGATCACTTGAAAGATTAATGCCTAAGTGACAATGCAAATGGTATAGTCGCTTGATTTAACAAAAGTCTAGGGTGATCAGGCTCGTTATTCTTAACAGAAAAAATCATCGATCGTGTTTTACTGGGATTCATGGTTACCATCCATTTATCGGCCCAACTAGATATAGATGCAAGATCAGTATTAAGCTTAACAGCAGAAGTTGTTGGAGAATCTACCACATCTAAAATCATAGTGT